GGACAGATCCTGAAGCTGAGGCTCCAGTACTTTGGCCATCTCATGAGAACAGAAGACTCCTTGGAAAAGACCCTAACGTTGGGAAAGAGTGAAGGCAAGAGGAGAAGGGGATGACAGAGGACAAGATGGATGGACAGTGCCATCGAAGCTACCAACATAAATTTGACCCAACTCCACGAGGCAGGGGAAGACAGGAGGGCCTGGAGTGTTCTGGTCCATGGGGTCACGAAGAGTCGGGCACGACTTAACGACTAAACAACAACACCATGCCTTGGGCTCTGTAGCACCAGCCTGTGTGAAAGGCTAAATGACCTATATTTTTTATTTATGCATCCAGGACTACTTTTGATGCAGCTTCTGTGTGGAGGAAATATCTATGAAATAATATGCCTTTGCTCCTCTCTTCTAAAATATCTTTAAGTTAAATTGCTAACGCAGTGACCTAATCATAATGGAAAAAACACATGCCCTGAAATCATGGCATTATTTACTTCTCTGCAGCTGTAATTGTTGCCACAGAACATCAATTTGTTTCTAGGGAGGACTGGATGTTCACTTTGAGAGGTGGCAATGTAAGTGAAGTGGAGGAAGCGTCTCTGACGGCTGGAATCAGCCAAGCTTAAAATAATAGGACAATAACACAATTGGTCATGTAATGTAAATTCTTTTAGCCGCCTTCACAAAACCATTAACTATGGCAGAATAATTTCCAAAATGTGCACCCAGGCACCTAATAATGCCAGAAGGCAACTATCCAAACTTAATCTTACTTTCTGTAGACCCAAACATAATAAAATTTAATTTCCTACCCTGGGAGGGGCAGAATACATCGGAAGGGCCAATAATACTGGAAAGAAGGGAAGGCTGCAGAAAGAGAGGGGAAATGGACATGAGATGCATTCACACAATAAGGAAGCCATGGCTTTTAGTTTGCCAAATCTGAGTGGGGCTGTTCATGAGCAGAACTTTTGAAGTTCATTAATTCATAGGTTTGCCGTATGTTGGCAGCGGCTTAATGGCACATAGCACATAACAGGTGCCATTGTTTTTGGATGGGTTTGCTATAAGCTTGACTGAGTCCTCCTTCAAGTCAGTGTGGGATAATAGTTACCGTATTTTTTGCTCCATAAGACGCACCTCTCCATCAGACGCACCAAATTTTTCAAGTCGGTGTGGGATAATGGTTAGATTTCTGGTACAACTGTGGAGGGAACAGCATTGAATTGCCAACCTGACCCAAAGGGTCTTTGGGTGACCTTGGGGGTGTGGGATAATGGTTAGATTTCTGGTACAACTGTGGAGGGAACAGCATTGAATTGCCAACCTGACCCAAAGGGTCTTTGGGTGACCTTGGGCCAGACAAACATATTTATTTGTTTACTTATTTACATAGTTCCCCATTAATGCAGCACGCTATTCTGGGCAGTTTGCAGCAAAATAAAATATAGCGCCACAACAGATTTCTGATACAACTGTGGAGGGAGCAGCATTGAATTGCCAACCAGACCCAAAGGGTCTTTGGGTGACCTTGGGCCAGACAAACATATTTATTTGTTTACTTATTTACATAGTTCCCCATTAATGCAGCACGCTATTCTGGGCAGTTTGCAGCAAAATAAAATATAGCGCCACAACAGCAGAGTTATATATAAAACCAAGAAACTATAATACAGGAGGCTTAATATCAGTTATCAGATAAGGCAGAACACGAGGCACAACTACCCGACAGAACTGTTTTAGAGATTTTCTAGAGGACATATTTGCTGCCTTCAATGCCTGTGTTTGCAGCAAAATAAAATATAGCGCCACAACAGCAGAGTTATATATAAAACCAAGAAACTACTGTATAATACAGGAGGCTTAATATCGGTTATCAGATAAGGCAGAACATGAGGCACAACTACCCGACAGTACTGTTTTAGAGATTTTCTAGAGGACATATTTGCTGCCTTCAATGCCTGCAAGGCAGTTTATTCTGCCGCACCTGTTCCAAGTGTACTTAAATCATGCAGCTGCTCCTGAAGATAATGATAATAATTATGTGCTATAATGATGAACCTCTCCAGAGTTTTTGAGGTCTACAGTACTCAGAGGTGGTTTATGGGTAAGCCGATCTGGGACTGTGCAGCTTGCCCAAGGCTACGCACACTTGGCCTTCTCCCAAGAGACACGGTGGAGCATCATCCCCTTCCTCACACCATTAATTGTGGCCTACAGAGGCCAACACAAATTCTGTTTGTTCCCCACAACTAGACTTCGTGTATGCATTTGCCATCTCTTAGCTCAGAGGAAGGCTTTGCTTTGAAAGCCTTCCTCTGAGACTTTCTCCAACACAAAATAAAGAGAAGTTGTCTGTAAACAAAAGAGGGGAGGAGATGATGACAGGACCCAAAAGGGTCATGAAATTTGAGAACTGAGAAGTTAGGTCATCTGTGGTGTCTCTATTTTGTGTCTCTATGGTGTCTCTTTATGCCATATACAGTGGTACCTCGCTAAATGACGACCCCATTAAATGACGAATCTGCATAATGATGACTTTTTGCGATCGCTGTAGCAATTCGCAAAACAGTCATTCCAATGGGGGATTTTCGCTGGACGTCGATTAGGTCCATGCTTCGCAAACCGTTTGTTCACAAGACTACGATTTTTTCGGCTTTGCAAAATGGCTGCCCTGTGTTTTCCGGACCCATGCTTCGCAGGACAGCCATTTTTTACAGCTGATTGGTGCTCGCAAAATGGCTTCCCCATGGGCGATCTTCGCTGGACGACGAGGTATTTTCCCCATTGGAATGCATTAAACCGGGTTTCAATGCATTCCAATGGGGAAAGGGGTTTTGCATGATGACGATTTCGCTAAACAGCGATTTTCATGGGACAGATTATCGTCGTCATGCGGGGCACCACTGTATTCACTTTGCTGCAATGGTAAATGAGGCTGAGACAAGACGGTGCCATTTTAGTGGTGACAGATTCCCCACAGAAGCTCACTTTTTAGGTAGAGCCAGCTCATATTCCTGGTTAGCTCTCAGTTGTCACAGAAGGGCAATTTTTCTGAGCCTTCTGGTGGACTATTGTGTTTTCACGTTGCATTTGCTTTGGTAGTTGTCGGTGCTTATTTCATTCTGCTTTTATTTCTTACCATTTTGGATTAAAAAGAAGCGCAGAGACGACAAAGGACTGCTGTGCTAACACAATTGTTTCCTTTTACAGCATCTTTGAACAGTGGCTCAGAAGACACCAACCTCTGCGGGAGGTTTACCCTGCAGCCAACGCCCCCATTGGACACAACCGTGAATCTTACATGGTCCCCTTTATTCCTCTTTACAGGAATGGGGAGTTCTTCATATCATCCAGAGAACTCGGATATGATTATGAATATCTCGCCAATCCAGGTAATGTCCAACTGTTGCATCAGTAAAGTAGCCTTTATTGATTGGAGCTAGTCTTTTTAGGTAGAACCAGAGGAGCAGAGGAAGAGAGTTCCCCATGACCATTGATGCTGTTTTGACATCAGATTGTGTTGCTCCTACATATGGGGTCCTTAGGGGGAAAAATGAGGTTTTTGAGGCTTGCTGCCCCAAAAAGTCCAAAATAGTTATCTCTGTGTTGGGTTCCCCATTGCCTCCATGCCAATAGAAAATTCTGTGAGGATTATCGCTGGATAAGTCAGTGGTTTAGAAATCTGGTTGCAGACCCAGAGGTCGGGAGTTTGATTCCCCCGTGGTGCTTCCTTGGCCAGGGCTGAACTCCATGATTCACATGGTCCCTTCCAGCTCTGCCGTTCTAAGATGATGATGATGATGATGATTTCACCTGTAGATGAATGTGCCATCTCTTGCACCTAGAAGCAAAGTTCAAGGCTGCCACTGAGAAGATTTTCTGTCCTGTCATTTTTAGTTAAAATTATAGAACCCAGAGGTGTTACCGTTTTTTTGGAACTGTGATTCCCAGAATCTCTGAGGGTGCTACTGCTTTTGCATTGACCAATATCACATTTCAGGCAGGGCTGAACGATGATTTCTGATAGCCTCATCCACAAAGTATGACTCTCCCTCTCTCTTTCTCATGCTTGTCTAGCTGTAAACAATCTTAAAAGATCCGTCTTTGGGTGTTTTAGTTCTAAAAAGCTACTTTACAGCAAAACCAATAATTATCATTGGCAGCTTCAAGAGCTTTATATGATGATGGAGACAGCAACAACCCACCTAGCATGTACTGCAGAATAAATGAAGTGCACAGAGAAAGAGAGAGAGAGAGTTACAGTACGTATTTCACAATGCTATTGAGCCACCTCTTACATCAGGTTGCATTGGGTAGAGAAATCAGATGGGAATACTCTTTGGCTGCAGTTGTGCTAAGAACAAGGCAAGTTTACCAATCTGCCAACCTCCCAGACTCAAATGACAAAATGTTTTCATGGGGGCAACATCCCCTGGATTGCTCAATTTATCATTCCGACAAAATGTCTGCTTGGCAGCAAAGGTGGGCATGGCTGGCAAAATGTGTAAGGGAGGGCTTTAAACGGATCCCTAAAATACTTCCATTTCCTTTGGATTACTAAGCCCTGGCTCAAATTGCATTTCCAGCTCAGCATAACAGAAATGGTGCAAGGGTTTGTAGCAACTCATTGAAATAGAGGGGGCTAAATGCTGGAGAGTTAAGAGAGCTGACAGGGGAAAAAATGGTTTCATTTGAAAGGCGGTGCTGGAGGAGAGCTTTGTGGAATACGCTGGACTGCCAGAAAGATGAACCAGTGGGTCCTAGATCAAATCAAGCCTGAATTATCTCTGGAGACAAAAATGTTGAAGCTGAAGCTGTTCTACTTTGGGCACAATCGTGAGAAGGCAGGATTGTCTGGAAAAGGAAATAATGCTGGGGAAGGTGGGAGGCAGCAGGGACAGAGGAAGACCAAAGACGAGATGGACTGGCTTCCTAAATGAAACCACAGGGTTGAGTTTAAAAGTACTAAGCAAGGCAGTTGAGGACAGGACATTTTGGATTGTGCTCATTCATAGATTGCCATGAATTGGAGGTGACTCGATGACACGTAACCACAACAGCAAAGGCAGTTCGTGGTTTGCCTTGAAAGAATAAAATAAGCAAGCAAAGAAACATTAAAGAATACATTAAAACAAAAAGCTTTTAAAGGATATGATGTGAAAGTGAATGCAGGAACTTCACCTTAGTTATGCAATTAGTACAAAACAGTGTTTTTAGGTTCTTCTTATCTCTCACTACCATTACCAAGTTCTTGTTTGTTCCTGCCTTCAGAAGCAAGGCTGAGGAACCACAAAATTAGTCTCCTTGCCCTGGAAGATGACGGGAACCACAAAATTAGTCTCCTTGCCCTGAAAGATGATGGGAAAATTGGTGGTGTTCTGGATGAGAGGGGGGGGGGAAAGAACTTTCAGGGAAAATGGACCAAAACTGCACAAATAATGCTCTGGAGCAAATAACGTTTAAATTGATTTTATTTTTCCTTTTGTATGATTTGTTAAGCTGCCTTCCTCCTGGTGAGGGTACGCAAGGCAGCTCACAAGGTTTAAAACAAGTAATACTACTAATAATAGTAATTACGGGTTAAAAAGTGAGGGAAGTACAATAATAATTAGAAACCCATAAAGTAATTAAAAACATTTAAAAAGAGACTTAGAAAGAGGGGCAAAAACTCAGCCTCCAGAGACTTAGGGATGCTTGTGGATGTGAACAAGGTAGTGTGAAATAGTGATGCCTTTGTTGCATTGATATTTTTAAGGGTTTGAAACTTTTGGGGGGAAATTGTCTCTCTTCCTGCGATTTTATAACAATCAGCCTGTCCTCCTGTGCTGTGTATGTCTTGTTCCTTAAAATGAAAGGACACCAATTTTGCACAGAGAGAAATCAACAAGAGCGAATAACTTAGCAAATTATTCCGTATATGCTTAGTCTTTGTTCCTTGTTTTGAGAAAATCTCCACTCCTTCCTGTAGTGTTCTAGGGATGAAAAGGAATAATGTTGGATTTGGCTGTTTTGATTAAAGCGGGGGCAGGGTTTAGCTCCCAAGACTCATTGCAAAAATAAATGCGCTCCTCGGTGTGAATCTTGCAAGGAGGGGGGGGGGAAGAGTGCATAAACCTATGCACACATTTTCTAAAAGGAATGCTTAGATTTGTGCAACTGATATGCACCAGATACCTAAGTGTTTTAAGTTGCTTTAATTGGCGGGAGAAGTGAACAAATTATGTGCACAAATTAGGCAAAAAGGTATAAATGAACTAATTAGGGAACATTCATAAAAATGGAAGCACTGGAAAGCACATATAAAAACTTGAGCCAATTTCAGTGAGGGAAAAATGAACGAAGTCTTGAAACCCAGTAGGAACCAAGGACAGAGAGAAAATGTATGTGGGATCCAGCGCAATGTGACGTCAGCAATATAGATGTTCCAAACTGTGGCTATGGGTAGAACAACGTGTTATACTATACCTTTATATTATTGTACCTGTTTTCAAAAGTTGCAGCTGCGGGCACTCTAATAATCTTGATTGTGACTCTGTATCCCAATTCCAAAACAACCAGGATTTAGGAAACACCAGTCTCCCGAGCTATGGATTACACTGGGTGACTTTCCAGAACTTTCCAGTGTTTGGCGTCTATCTCATGGAGTGTCAAGAGGATTTGAAAGCATATTAATGATTGCCTGCTTGGCATAAGTTAGACTAGATAGCATTTAGAAGAGGCTCATGGACTGGCTCTCCTTGCCAACCTAGCAGTTCGAAAGCATGTAAAAATGCGAGTAGATAAATAGGTGCCACCTCGGTGGGAAGGTCACGGTGTTCTGTGTCTAAGTCGCACTGGCCATGTGACCACGGAAACTGTCTTCGGACAAATGCTGGCTCTACGGCTTGGAAACGGGGATGAGCACCGCCCCCTAGAGTCAGACACGACTGGACTAAATGGCAAGGGGAACCATTACCTTGGCCATGGACTGGCTGGGAGAAGAGTCCACAAGCTGCTTCCAGTTCCTCAGAAATGTCCTTTTGGGGTGTGTGCTTGCCTTCCGCCCCCAAATAAAGTGTGACTTGGGGGGTGAGGAGGACTTAAAATGTCAACTGCAATGATTTGAAAGAAAGTTATAGCTTGGACAAGGTTTCTAGAAGGTTCCTCCTTACAGAAGGAAAGGAAAATAAAAAGAAATTATGGAAATTGGACAGACAGATAGGTAGGAGAGAGGAGGGGATCTTATTCATGAAGCTGTAGGGATCCCTGGGTAGGCTTCAGGGGATCATGAACCAGGGACACACATAGAGAGATGCACAGACACACAGAGAGAGACACACAGACACACACTGTGAGAGACACACAGACACACAGAGAGATACACAAACACACACAGTTTTCTTTTTGCTTCCATTCCTGTTACTTTGGAAATTGCCTTTGTGTGTGTATGTGTGGGGGAAGTTTGTGTTATTAAAGTATTATTTAACTCTAGGGTTCAGTGGGTTCTTCAGATTCTCAAAGGGGTCCATGTCCTTCCTTGCCCTTCTTTAAAAAAAACTTTAAAAATGATGGAGTACAAAAAATTCCCTCTGGTTCAGGATATACGGTGGGGCTCATTACGGCTCTTAGCCACAATCCTTTAATTATTAGCACAAACAGCCAGTGGTTTTCAAAAGTAATTATGGTTTCTTTTCAAGCCTATTGGAGCAGGTAACTATCTGCTGGGGAACTCAGACGAGACTGGAGCTGATCCATTGGGATGATGTGTGAGATTACTGCAAATATAATTATTCAATGCAAGAGGGAAGGAGCGAAACGAAATGCAGGGTCTGTTTGCCCAATAAACTCAGTTGAACTTATTCGGGCACCCATACCTTCTAGTCACAGCGGAGGTCTCAGATTTATAGAGATTTTTAAAATCTAACCATTTCATTGCCATTTGTTTCAAAAATACCACTAACATCCTCATCCGTAATTGGTATACAAAATATTTTCTTTTGCTCATGGAAGAGACACAGGGAAATGTGTGCATATTTCCGTATACATATTTTCTAATACATAGATTTTTGCCCATTGTTTCCCACGGAATAAAGTGTGAGTTTTGTGCTCATTTTTCCAGATAGTTTCACACGGGTATATTTGTGTGCTCGTCCGTCAACTGCTGGATTTGTACAGAGCCTTGCAGTTGGACTGGGACATGTTCTGCTAGCTCGGTCCGCCCTGGAAGCTTCTGGAAACCTTCCAGCCAAATTTTGCCACGACAGTTGGAGGGCGTCGCACCATTCCTGGCATCTGTTGCTTCACGACGGCCACCTTTCTTTGCTGCTTCCAACATTTTGGCTGTGGTGGAAATAATCCTCCTACAGGCTGCTATTCTGCCCCCCACAAACAAACAAACAAACAAAAAAACCCAACCCTGCTCTGTGACATCATTAGTTACTGCTGTTCTGCAGTCATTCTGCCCCCCACAAACAAACAACAAACAAACCCAACCCTGCTCTATGACATCATTAGTTACTGCTGTTCTGCAGTGTTTTCGGGAGTGATGGTAGCCCCAAAGATTCATGGCAATGTTGCCCGCCATTACCTCTCCTGATCTTCCTCAATTCCATTTCTAGGCTTCCTTCCCCCAAAATCATGGCAACCTTCCACCATCCCCCCCCCAATTTGTTCCCTGGAAATTGGGTAGCACATATCTGCTCAGGGGTGGGCACACTCAGACCAAGGCCACCCTTGAGACCCTCAAGGCCTCTAAAGTGAAAGCTGCTGCTTCTGGGGGCTATTTAATGTGTAACCCATTAAAATAATATGGAAATCAGAAGTGAATTTTTTTACAAAAAAAGTTTAAAAGAACTACTACCTGGAATTTGTTTTTAAGAGCAGTTTCTGACTATTTCCAGACCGGACGTGGCCCGCGGTTGGGTTTGGGAGCAATTAATTGTCTTCCAAGTCTCCTGTCCTTGTCCTCATTGGTCCAACCTACTAAGGGTTGCAATCAGGTGGCAAGAAAGGATTTTGCCTGATGGCATCATAAGTGGTTACTTTGCTGGGAGTGATGTCCCTAAAGGTGACTCTTCTGTCTGTGTAGGAATTGGTCCAGCCCAGCCCCCTGAAAAAGGATCTTTGTCAGTGGCCCCAAATGGTCTGGCTTGGGTATGGATCAGGCTGTGTCACTATTGCATATATATCATATGATCATCAGGAAATAGTTTGCACTGCACTGTGCCCTAAGCAGTTAAAAATGTGAGCTACCGTATTTTTCTGTGTATAAGACGCTCCTATGTATAAGATGCCCCCCACTTTTCTAATCCAAAATTAAGAAATCTAAGTGGGACTTAGGAAGTATAGGGGGAAAGGGATCAAAGTGCTGCAGGATCACTTTGATCCCTGCTTTCTTCTCCACTTGTTTTTGTTCTGTCTTCAGCTTACTTCTGTGTATAAGACAACCCTCAATTTTTAGTCTAAAGATTTTAGACAAAAGTATAGTCTTATACACAGAAAAATACAGTATTTCCCCATCCGATCACACCGTAGGTATATCTATTTTACTTATTTATAATATTTTTACCCTGCCTTTCTCCTTAAAAAGACCCAAGGTGGCTTACATCATTAAAAGACAATATGTTTTGACCAAATTATGGGAGACAGTGGAAGAGAGGAGGGCCTGGTGTTCTCTGGTCCATGGGGTCATGAAGAGTCGGACACGACTTAACGACTAAACAACAACAGTTCTTTACTCTGATCAGTTAGCCATTTGACTAAGAACTGCTGGGTAGCTCAGTGGTTTTGGCATCTGGCTGCTGAGCCAGAAGTTTGGAGTTCAATTCCCCACAGTGCCTGCTTGACGGGGGCTGGACTCAGTGACCCCCCCCGGGTCCCTTTCAACTCTGCAGAGAGTTTCAGGTGGTGATGATGATGATGATGACTTGAATTGCTTCCGTAAATCAAGAAATTGAGTCCCTAAAGAAGACCACTACTTTGAATATGCAAGAGCTGTGCAGGGATGTTAATGGTAGGACATTTTGGAGGCCACTCCATTCCTAGGGCCGCCATAAGTCAGAGACAACCTGACAGCATATAAAGAACAGCAACCACCAAGACATCATTGTCATGAATAACTGTATGGGAGGACCACTAGCTGCATTTGGATTTGACAGTTGGAACTGTTTTGTGTTCTTATTTCCCAATGAATTCTATTGCATGCCCAGTCAAAATGAAAGCCTTTTCTCTCTTTCAGCCAACCCCTTCCAGACCTTTTTTGATCCTTATTTGGAGCAAGCCCGCCAAATCTGGCCATGGCTGGTGGGAGCCGCTGTGGTGGGTGCCATCATCATGTTGATCGTCGGACTCAGCATCCTCCGATGTCGGAGGAAGAAAAGAATCTCCGAGGAGACGCAACCGCTACTCATGGAGAGTGACGATTATCAGCATGTGACGTACCAGTCACATGTATAACAACTGCCCAGGGCCAATACTGTTAAGTGTTAACCCAACATGATGTGTGAGATGAAGCCTCCAATGTCTTTTCCAAAGCTTGATCAGAAAAAAACAAGGGGAGGGAGGAATTCCAGGTTGGGCCTGGTTTGTACAGAAGAGAGATAGGGGTTCTTGAAGCTTTGATAGGATGCATAATAATAGTCTTTAAACCTTTTCTATATACCTTTTCTCCATTCAAAATGGCATAATCACACTAGATAATATAACACCAACACTTGACCTTTTCTTAGTAGCCAAGTAACTTTGGAGGGACAGCAATTTTATTAGGAGAAGGGTTCAGACAACTTGTTTCAAGCACTAGGTCACCAGCTCAACCCCTCCATTCTTTAGTTTAAGCTTTGAGAAGACAAACGGACAGTCAAACACAGTTTGGACACGTCACATTGATGTTGGCCCTGGATCTGTCCGTGATTCTAAGGTGCTCATTCAAACTAAAAGTGTTTAAAGCAGCTTCATCACTTCCAGGACTGGCTCATCACTCCTAAGCACACTTTAACCATTCTTTTGTATCTACAGTCAGAGTTGGTTAAAGGAAGTGGTTCTCAACTTTTCATATCTTCTAATCACAATTGCTGTACCAAAGAACTTGTGTCCCACCATGACAGAAACAAAAGTCCACTTATCTGTGATAATTGACCGTACATGTTAAGGATGCAGAAACAAACAAACAAAAACTAGGGCAGGATCAGCAGATTTGAGATTTTCAAAGGCACTGTGCAACTCTAGTCATAACTGGCCTTACATGTTAAGGATGCAAAAACAAACAAACAAAAACTAGGGCAGGATCCTGTTCAGTATTTATGGGTAGATAACATTACAACTGCAGAAACTAGCACAGAGGTGCAGTGCATGCATGACCAGCCACACAGCCAGTACATTGTCAAGGTAAAATGGTTGTTTCTGCAAAAATTCTGCATGCAGAAGCACTGAACAGGATACTGGCCCTGAACTAGCATTTGGTGGCATGAGCACCATCAGTGGTTGAAGATTGCCATAATATAGTTGACTATCAGTTTTACAGCTGTAGCAACTACAAAAACAAAGATAAAAGATAATTGTGGCAGTATTGTTGAAATGAATTTAAGAGCACCTGGCATTTCATCTGGACTATTTCTGTGTCCTGTAAGTGTCCCACTGGGTTGACAGGTGTCCGAGGATTAGGGGTTTTCTCTTCTTTCAGTGCCATCATCATAGGCATCCTTCAGTCTCGAGAGACTATGGTAACATGCTCTGAATCGAGGAGTGTCGTCTCCAAAGCATGAAGCCTGGGTAGAGTAATATGGAGGATAGGCTGTTACCCAAGCAGCAGATCCCTCCTCGCCACGTTGCTGAAATGGTCCAATGGAAAGGCAAGAGCCAATACAACTGGTTCCAGCAATGTCATAGGAGTTGGCAGAATGACACGAACTGCCTTTGGGACTCCAGCTCCGGATTTTGCCTTGAGGTTAACTCCTGAAGCCTTTTCCATGAGTGGATATAGCCACAAGGCAGTGGAGGCTTGAAATCGGAGTTCTCCTTCTCTTAGATGGGCTGCCTTCCAAGGCTGACGAGCCCCACCTACCTGGTGTGCTCTTTAATAGTGTGGAAGTATGATCCAACCCTTAGAACTTTCCTGCCTCCCAGGTGTATGCAAATCTAATTGACTTTCCTATTTACCATATTAGGGCCAGAGATAGAATCAGAGAATCTGAGAATTTCGTGCGCCGTTAGTGCATACTTATAGATAACATTTAAGACAGAAACTCTGATATATTTCTCCATTGAGTCACACTGATTCCATGATTGGCCTTGCAACTATTTACTAATTACTTGACAGCAAACCTCCTGAGACAGTGGCGCATGTGGGACATGTACACAATTTCTTTTCTGCTCCACAGTTAGGCAACACAATGCTAGGTGATGAAATGTACGTCCTCTCACTACAACAAATAACATTTTGTTGTACAAAGAAGGCCATCTTGACTAAAAAGCATGCCAACCCGGCTACCGAAAGAAGGTACAATACAGACAAGCACCCTTTACTGCAAACTGGGGACCATCAGTCATGTAAGATGGTCAGAGACATTAAAGCAACCCTCTTCCTAGTCTTAAGAACAAATGTATTTATCCTGAAAATAACTGTATTTTGTGCCTCTTTTATGGTAATGCATTGCATAACCTACCAATAAACTGTATTTTATGCCTTAAAAAGCAAAAGGCAGGCTCATTTTGTCAAGACCTTTCGACTGAGGGCTTGGTAAATTAGGGTTGCCTTATCAATTGCAATAAATATCGCAATATCTCAGCAGAAGTGATCTACTTTCTGGGCCCTGTCATTTGTTATGAAGTTCAATGTGTCCAATAAAAACTACCGGAGCAGAAGGAATGATAATCAAATCTATAGATGGCATGCAACTGGAATGACCAGCTAATAACTCTGTGGACAGAATCAGAAATCAAGATGGCCTTACAGATTAGGGAGCTGGGGCAAAACAAATAACATGCATTTCCACAGCTGATATCAGGTGCAAGCTGAGAACATTTACTCCTCACTTCTCCAGACAGGGAGAAAAGCCACCGACTCTTAGCGTCTAAAAACCCACCACAGAAAGATCAGATGATTTCCAAAAATGGAGCCATTCCACAGATGTCATACGGACCAGTAAGGGCTACATGGGAGGTCTGTAATCTCACTTCCCCCTATCAACAGTGTCCAGCTACATCTCCTGTGATGCTCAAATCTCCCTAAGGAGCATATGGCATTCGGGCAGGGAGTTCCACAGGCCACAAATCTACCACTTTACGCTGAGGCAAGTCCTCAACCTTCAACAGTGCATAGTATCTGTGCCTTGAACAAGCCTGGCCCTTAAAGAACACTTTACTTTACTCAGCACTTTGCAAGTAGTTCCACATGGTCTTTGTGATTTATTTGTAAATAAATAACAGAATGTGTTGCATTTTAATTTTTTAAAAGTCACTTAAGATAGGACAAATATCTATCTATCTATCTATCTATCTATCTATCTATCTATCTATCTATCTATCTATCTATCTATCTATCTATCTATCTATTAGATTTGTACCCCACCCATTTAGACAGTGTCTATTCCCGGCGGCTCACAATAAAAGTAAACTAAAAACAATCAAATAGTATCAAACAACAATTTAACAACTGTAAGAAAATCATTCAAGATGAAGGGAAAAGAAATAAATCAGAGGGTGACTGGAGGGAAGGCCTGCCTAAATAGTCAGGTCTTGAGTCGGCTCTTGAAAACACCCAGCGAAGGGGCCAAGCGGATCTCAGAAGATAAAAGAAATAATGTCGTGCCGAGAGGGAAGACCTGCCTAAATAGCCAGGTCTTGAGTTGGCTCTTGAAAATACCCAGCGAAAGGGCCAAGCGGATCTTGGAGGGGAGATTATTCCAAAGACGGGACGGCCACTGCCGAGAAGGCCCAGTTTCTTATTTTTTCTTTCTGGGCCTCCCTCGGCGTTAGGCTCCTCAGCCACCCCTCCTGGCTAGAGAGAGTGATTCGAGTAGATCTAGGTGGGAGGAGGCACTCCGCCAGATAAAACAGCAGATATAAACAATGAAATCACCATATTAACTTCCCCATCTCCAATTCGTTGATTGTTTGGTTTTTTAAAATCATCATAATTATGGAAAACTACTCTTTTTAGAATTTGCCCGTTGGGCAATATTTTAAAATAATGAGTAAGCATTACTTTTTGGACAAAAAGAAAAGAAAAGAAAAAGAGAACATTTGTATTTATCACATTCTTTTCAACAGGGCCGGAGGAGCAACATTTCCGCTTGTAAAGTGTGACTCCCGTACTCTGCCCCATCACTGCCTATGACTTGCTGGACAGAAGCCAAGCTAGAAACACCCTAAGGTGCACATCTGTTCTGGACATGGAGTATAACCACATCCAGAACCAGTTTCATATCACTGTCCATATTTGATCTTTCCCCAGTCAAAACGTGCTGCAACTAAATACGAAGTGACCCTCAGATGCAATGGAGGGTGCATTTCATGGCATCTCTAAGCTCGGCAGTTCCTCAATCACTGGAAAATGTCACATCACAACTCTAAAAATTGACATATTCCCTCTAAAGGAGAAAGCATGAACCCCTCTGTCATGAAACCCAGACCTTTTTCTCAGCTGGCTTTGATTCTCCAGCCCACAACCCGGAGGCCCAATGAATCATAGAGTCATAGACTAGTGACATTGGAAGGGGACTATAAGGCCATCAAGTCCAACCTCCTTTTCAGCGCAGGAAGACAAATCAAAGGAGATCTGCCAGGTGGTTGTCTAAGTTTCTCTTGAATGCTGAACAAGGGGTGCAAGGGGAGACAGGGCTCAGAATTTGGATCACCTTTTATTTTTAAAACACCAGTCCCTCTTTCCTGCTTAAACATTCCAGCTGCGTCCAGAGGATGCCGTTGACTGCGAGCGAAACAGCAAATGGCTTCCCGATCATAACAACCTGGGGGGAAAAAATTACTCATCACTGCATGAGCCTTTTATTGAAAGCTTCTTTTCCTGGGTGATATATTTTCATAACACTGTGGCTCTTTGCCAGCCTGGCTGCTCGCAACTGCAGCTGTGAAATGAATAAAAGCCACAGGGGTTTGCAGAATCTTTGAATTAGAGATTGGAGATGTTACTTTTCCGGGCACTTTAGTCCAAAAAAAAAGTAACTTTTCAAAGCTAATGGGTGTGTACTGTGAGATGTGCACAAGCCTTTCCTTCACTTCACAAGCTGTTAATACACATGTTGTCTACAAGGTACCAGTAATTTGTGGAAATGCCCGCAGGATAGAGGGTGGAATTGATGATAGTCTAGTGTGAAAAATGCTTCCTGCCAGTGGTTCCCAACCTTGGGTCCCCAGATGTTCTTGGACTAAAGCTCTCAGAAGCCTTCACCACTAGCTGTGCTGGCTGGGATTTCTGGGAGTTGTAGTCCAAGAACATCTGGGGACCAACGTTGGGAACTAATGACAGCAAGAAAAGTATGATGGTGTGTGGGTCACCATGGGCAAGAGGCCATCAAAGGGGCCTGTGGGGCTGGTCATCAGTACACAGGAGAGTAGTCAGTGTAGTAAATTGAGAAACTTAATACAACATACTTTCAAATCAATTATTTATTAAGTACCTGATTTGAAAGCATTTTGTATTATTGCAGAAGCCTCTGTGCTGCAAGGTCAGAAGACCTGCAGTCGTAAGATCGAATCCACGCGACGGAGTGAGCCCCCGTCGCTTTGTCCCAGCTCCCGCCAACCTAGCGATTCGAAAGAATGCAAAATGTGAGTAGATAAATAGGTACCACCACGGTGGGAAGGTAACGGCGTTCCGTGTCTAAGTCGCACTGGCCACGTGACCATGGAAGATTGTCTATGGGTTGGAGACGGGGATGAGCACCGCGCCCTAGAGTCAGACACGACTGGACTAAATGTCAAGGGGAACCTTTACGTTTATATATAATTTTACGACATATATCATAGTCTCTTCCCAAGGTCATCTGCCTGCTCCATCAGATCCTGACAAGCCATGATCCTTCGAGGAGCCCCAGCAAAGGAGGCCAGAATATATTTTACAAGAAGCTGGGCCTTCTTGACAGTGGCACCAACTCTTGGGAACCAT